GGTGATGGGGATGGTGGTGGCTGTGATGGTGGTGGTGGTGGTTGGGTTGAGAACTATACCCGCGGAGTACACCTGCCAGGGGGTGATGGCCGTGTGTGTTGAGGCAGACACTAACCCCATCACTATCTTCACTTGTTCCTGTGTCCGGTCCTCCCTCTTACCTTGCCTTCCTTCCCTTTCTCCTCCTCTGTATCTCATGTCCTGTGATCCTATTTAAGTTAATGTACCCAGAGGCTTTATTTCTGTATCATCTTTACCTATAACTTGTGATAAGAGATCGCTTCTATCTTTTGAAGGTATGTTACAAAGACAACAAAAACACACGCACACACACACACACGCGCGCGCAAAAAAAAACCTAAATTACACAAGAGAATTTACAACAACTTGAAACATTCTGTCATTCCTAGTTAAAGGAACCAATCCTATGTACAAATATTAAGACAAAAACTAAAAGCCAAGCTACAAATTATTCAAAACAAAATGTTGAGGTTTATTCTCGACGTGAACACAAGAGATCACATTGGTCACGAAGTCCCGCAGTCACTGGACATTTTGAGCGTGGTGGAGAGAGTAAAGCAGTTGAGGCTGAATCACGCTTTTAGGATTTTCAACGGACTGTGGCCAGAGTATCTAACAACAAACTTTGTAACTAAGGATTAAGGCTATGAACCGGCAGGGAACTAGACGAAGTAAACACAATTTTACGGTACCTGGTGTCCGCGGTCAAGCCAAAAACACTTTCTTCTTTACAATAATAACAGACTGAAACAAGTTCCCTGACCACATTAAATCCAGTAATGTTATCAACCAATTCAAAGTTACAGTAAAAGAATACATAAGAGATGAAGCTATAGGAAGAGAAGAGATTGAGTTACTATATTATTAACCTCAGAATGTTGTTGTAGTGTTGAAGTCATCCGTCAGCCTCAGACAGTTGAAGCGCAATGTAATGCTTGTTATTCTTACCATCAAGTTTTCACTTTTAATCCTCTATATATACTTTTACTGGTAAGTGACCAAGTCTAAGCATAGGACGCTACTGGAAATAAACATCTGAAGGCTTGGTCGGGTATCCTTGGTTGAATCTGCCTTACAGTTCAGTATTGTTGTATACCTGCACTGTCTAGGTCCAACCACGAACAAAAGTCGTGCTGCCTCTTCTCCTGAACCACCAACTAGATACAGACTTGTGAATTTGAAGCATTTAAGGAAGGAGTAATGCATCAGTGTCTACTGCTTCGGGTTCACGAGTCTAAATCTCGGGGTTCGTGGAGCAGCAGAGGTAGTGACAGGACTTTTGTTCGAGACTACATTGAAAACTGTACACCTTCACAGTCTATATTATACACCGTACACCTGCGTTTTCTATACACAGGCTGAACTGCATACCAACAATGCCTTTATACTAGTACGTTTACAAGGACTCGTCAGGTTTTGTGCAGTGTGGCAGCGTTGTGTTTGTTTACAGTCGACAGAAGGAAACTCACAATCGTAAACATATTATGGAATCAAAGTAAAACAATATTAAAACAAATATCTCAATGTAATGATTTGTGGAATGTTTATATGACGAGCCCCTGTAAACGCAGTAGTGAAGGGGACTGTACAGGCCAAAAAAATGGAAACTTGTTTGACGATTTTACTGAATATATATTATTATTGTTATCATTATTATTATTAATCACAATAGACGGTGGCGCTTAGGGGGCAGTCCAGGAAGAATACGGTTTATGATATCCTCTCTTGAGTTATTGGTGGTCCTCACTAATGCCCCTCCTGAGACCATTTCACGGGGGTTGAAGTTACCAGTGAGTGACCTTACGTTGAGGAAACGTTTACTGCTCTTCACTTGTTTATCTTGAATATGCAATCATGTTAACAGATTACACGTGCTGAACCAGGTAGGTGTGTGTGTGTGTGTGTGTGTGTGTGTGTGTGTGTGTGTGTGGAGAGAAAAACATACACACCCACACAAACGTCCACAAAGCCGCAATAGCCACACACACACACACACACACACACACACACATGAAGGTGATCCACACCAGTCAACTGTGTCTGTCTGTCTTGTTCAGCACCAGAAAAAGAGAAAGAACGTTCATAGCCAAAACATATAAAGGAGAATGACCTGAAAACTCCCCCACATTATTTAGTTCTCTCATTCAACTTTATTTCTTCTTTCTCCTGCTTTCTTCCCTCCATGCATCAGTAGGAGGCGAGGTAGGTGCTGGGGTAGGTACGTAGGTACGGTAAGGAGGAATGAGGAGTGGTGGGATGGAGGAAAGGAAGGCAGGTAGGGAAGGAAAGAGTGGGAGGGGAGAGAGAGAGAGAGAGAGAGAGAGAGAGAGAGAGAGAGAGAGAGAGAGAGAGAGAGAGAGAGAGAGAGAGAGAGAGAGAGAGAGAGAGAGAGAGGTAGGTAGGGAAGGAGGGGAAGTGAGAGAGGGGAGGGAGGGAAGGAGGGGAGGGAAGCAAGGAGAGAGAGAGAGAGAGAGAGAGAGAGAGGGAGAGAGAGAGAGAGAGAGAGGTAGGGAGATGCAGAGCGAGGTGCGTGCAGAACAGGAAAGATCGCAGAGATATTGAAACCTAACGGGGAGGGATCGGGAACCAGGTTTTGCTTGGTATAGCCTACGTTAAGGGTGTGTGTGTGTGTGTGTGTGTGTATGTGTATGTGTGTGTGTGTGTGTGTGTGTGTGTGTGTGTGTGTGTGTGTGTGTGTGAAGACGTGGGGAAAACTGGGAAAGGTTATGAGAGGAAAAAAGGGAAGGAATTGGTGTGTATATATATGAACTGGAGAAAACGTAAGGATTTCTTAAGAGAGAAGGAGGTGAGGAAAATGTAGGAGGGGGGGGGTGGGGATGTTGGGGAGGATAGGTAGGTGGATTGAAGAAGGGGGGGGGGAGAAATGTATACCAACGGGAAGAGAGAAGTGGGAAAAATGATGAGGAGAGAAGAGGAAGGATGGAAGGATAAAGGAGTGCCTCAAAGGAAAAAGGAAGGGGAGGAGAAGGTGGAGATAGGGGTTATGGTCAGAAGGAACGGGAAATTGAGATATGAAGAGGAAGGAACAAAATAATGGGTCGGGGGGATTTATGTGAAGGGGATAGAGGGTAAGGGGAGGGGGAGGGAGGTGGGAGTGACGGGGGTGAGGGAGGAAGAAGGGGAAAAGCACCCAACCAACACTGGAGGTAACGATCCATACACACCTGCTGACACATATCTACGATCCCATAAAACACACACACACACACACACACACACACACACACACACATTATCTTTTCCCTTTGCTTCTATGTGATTATTTATTTATTCCTCTAAGTGTATATACTGCATTTGTATGTATGTCTCTCTGTCTATAAGCAAGACCAGATAAATGCAGTAATTATAAACCCACACAATGGTACAGCTGGGGATAATGTAAGGCTGAAACAGTAACTTGGATGGTTACACAGTATATAAACCTACCAGTTTATTTCAGTGTTGTGAAATCGTCAAGCAATGTATGAGAAGCGTTAGAATAAAATCTTACAGTGCTGGGGAGCTTTACGGAGTGTGGTGTGGTGTGGTGTGGTGTGGTGTGGTGTGGTGTGGTGCCTCGGATTCTGAGACCAAGTCCATAGTCTGGCCAGCCGCATTTCTGTCATATCACCGAATTTACTCTCTGTTTACCTTATATCCCTCACGTGATGGGAGAAGCAACGACCAACACATATAAACACCATTACTCCTCAGCTAAGGAACATTACGTCATGGCTCAGGTTTGGCCCAAAGTTGACATGAAGAGCAGGACTTATGTTACGACTCCCCAGACATACGGGAGCCAACTTAGCACCGTACACTATACACACACCATGACGCTACATCACTGTCCACCATACACACACCATGACGCTACATCACTGTCCACCATACACACACCATGACGCTACATCACTGTGCACTATACACACACCATACATCTGGTACTCGCACAACTACCGTTAATGAAGGATGACGGTTAAAACAATAAACAAACGGGAAATACTGCAACAGGTGGAGCTGCTGCAAGCTGTCTTATCATTGTCATTCACACATTAATATTATTTATAATAAGCGTAGTTCCTAGGTATGTTTTTATTGTAAATTACATTACAATAAAAATTTTATGTTGATATAAATACAATCAAATAGATCTGTTATTTATTATGTCAAGAACGTCACCCCGTCATAAGAGAACACCATACTGAGACTACCACCACCCTCACCTATGCAATACGTGAGAGTTGCACTAAGAATATCAAAATAAAAATATGCATAGAATTGGTCAAAGGTGAAGCACAGACTGGGAATACCACCCTAATGAGCGGTAACACATTCTAAGGATATGTGTTGTGTCCGACGTATTTATATCCTTAACCCTTTCCCATCCCACTAACCCCCCAACACCCTTACCCACCTTCAACCCCCATAACCCGCCCCCGTTTCCCCCTCACATCCCTCCCTCACCCTCTCACCCCTTCCTCACCCTCTCCCTGACCCAAAATATATACACTGCCTTAACACACACACACACACACAAGAAAAAAGAACTGGGATCAAGAGACATTTTTTAGTATTTATTCTCAAATAGATAGAAGACATAATAGAGAATGAAACTTCATGAAATACAAAAACTGTACTTACCAAAGAAGCACAACACCTGAAAAAGAAAGAAAAACACGTCAGAAACACAATGCAGAATACAGTCATGAAAACAGAAAATAACGTACTATAGAACATGCTACTTATGGGTGGTAAATGGGAAGGGTGATGTTTCTTTTAAGGAACACACCCTCCAGCCACTACTGGTGAAGGAACACACCCTCCAGCCACTACTGGTGAAGGAACACACCCTCCAGCCACTACTGGTGAAGGAACACACCCTCCAGCCACTACTGGTGAAGGAACACACCCTCCAGCCACTACTGGTGAAGGAACACACCCTCCAGCCACTACTGGTGAAGGAACACACCCTCCAGCCACTACTGGTGAAGGAACACACCCTCCAGCCACTACTGGTGAAGGAACACAGCCACCTCTCAGCCACTACTGGTGAAGAACACACCCTCCAGCCACTACTGGTGAAGAACACACCCTCCAGCCACTACTGGTGAAGGAACACACCTCCAGCCACTACTCATTGGTGAAGGAACACACCCTCCAGCCACTACAGGAACACACCTACTGGTGAAGGGGTGAAGGGGGTAAACACTAACAAAAGCAAATGCCAGACTCACAGCTTAAGGGTGAGAGATAACAGAGACAAGTGAGAGATCCGGGTGAACACACTGAGGCTGAGAGACTACATAAAACCACACACACACACACACACACACACACACACACACAGTTAAGGGCAAAGTCAACATGTGTAGTTGATAAGTCACATACTTTACAGCTAAAAGGGAAACTCTGAAATTAAATTAAAAGACGCCACACATATTTGTCTACGACGAAAGGCTTGTAGATTTAGATAAAACAAAAGGCCACAGCCACAGCTAAAGGCGAGAGACTGCAGCAAAAGCTAAGAGCCAAAGGGCATGGGGAAGAGCCAAAGGGCAAGGGGAGGACAAAAGGGCAGTAGGAGCAGCTTACACTCACCCCCTGAGGGAGCCGTGCAAGATGTATGAAGTGGCGTGTATGTACTAGTGGTCCTCAACACAGCTACCCCCCCCCCTCCTCTAAGCTCGGCACAAAAGCCAGCAAGACCTATTCAGGTGCTGCTGCCAGGTGTCTACTCAGCCTGGGTGCCTACTACCAGAGAAACGACCTACTCAGCCTGCCTGCCTACTACCAGAGAAACGACCTACTCAACCTGCCTGGCTACTACCAGAACGAAACTGAGCCTACTCAACCTGCCTGCCTACTACCAGAGAAACGACCTACTCAACCTGCCTGCCTACTACCAGAGAAACGACCTACTCAACCTGCCTGCCTACTACCAGAGAAACGACCTACTCAACCTGGGTGCCTACTACCAGAGAAACGACCTACTCAACCTGGGTGCCTACTACCAGAGAAACGACCTACTCAACCTGCCTGCCTACTACCGGGGAAACATCCTACTCACGCCTGCCTGCCTCCTTACGCGACTACTACCGGGCACACGACATACAGAAGATAAGACTTGCTTAACCTACTCAACCTGCCTGCCTACTACCGGGGAAACATCCTACTCACGCCTGCCTGCCTCCTTACGCGACTACTACCGGGCACACGACATACAGAAGATAAGACTTGCTTAACCTACTCGCTTATCTGCCTCTCTTCTACCGGGCACTTGAGGCACACAGAGTAAATGCTGACTTTACCCAAGAAACTGAAGCATTTCACGACTTCATGATTTATCCGTGTGACCAGTTACAGTGGTAGAGGTGAGTACAGCACGATACAGCTGCCCTCGGTCGTTATCGTGCTGGTCCACAAATATTTTTTTTATCAACATTTCACCAATTTTTTTTATTCCAGCTTTCATTATTTCTTCTCCTTTTGTTTTGCATGAATTGCATTTTTTGTTTTTCAGATAAAGTTTATACTTCCAATGACTGTAATTTAATATGCAGTCAGTTTTGTACACCAGAATACATTAGAATACATAACTCAATATAATAATAATAATAATAATAATAATAATAATAATAATAATAATTGTAATTTCACATGATTATTTCTTAGCTTTAGCCGTAACGATGAATGTAAAAAAATATTACTGTCAGGTTTAAGTTTATGGGGTATTTTACTAGCGTGATAACTGACATCATCTATTAATTTACTTGACATCATCCACTAATTTCCTTGACATCATCCACTAATTTCCTTGACATCATCCACTAATTTCCTTGACATCATCTTCAAATTTACTTGACATCATCTACAACGTTTGGCTGATCTTCAAGAATTAAGGACCATTTTAGCGTGTCAAGAAAATAGTTATCACAATTGGTCATTAACAATTACAACTTACACAAGTCTCTCCTGGTCAGGATACGCCATGAAATACCCATCACCTAACCTAACCTAACCAAATATATAAAATAAAATAGAAATATATAAGTGTGTTTATGGAATTAATATAACCCGAGTGATGATAATCTCTTTTCCAGGAGTAATGGCGGCTTTAACAATCTTCATTTCTTGACTCTAATTACCATACGCAATATATAACTGGAAACTGGAGTGACGGACAGACGGAAGGGGAAAACAACAAATCGCTGACCCTCGATTTTCCCCCAAAAGGACATAAAAGTGTTTAAGCTTCAGTATATTGGATATTATAGGGAAAAAAAAGCTTAAAATTTTTTCCCTTTTTTCATATCCTTAAAATTAATAAAATTACCTTAGATTTTAACAGCTACGGAGACTGTATACATTAGTAAGAAATGGTTTAATAAAATATTAAAGGAAAATATATTACAGAAATGATGTTTGAAAATAATTAATATATATCTACGAGGAAATGAAGACTGGTTATATATGGTTATGGAGGAGAGAATACAATGTGTTTTTCTGGTTTTAGTTATCAATTTTGTTTTCATTATTCTTCTGTTGTGGTTATCGTCATATTTTGTTTCTTTTCTCTTCTGGTTATCGTTATATTTTGTTAGTCTTCTCTTCTGGTTATCGTCATATTTATTACTGACATTATTCATTTTCTAATCTGAACTTCCTCCACGTCTTCTGGTGTTCATAAGCAATGTTTCCTACAAGTACAGACGACAACAGCCCCACAAGAGACGGTGTGATACATGAAGAGGAGAATGAGAGGGAATAAAGAGTGGAGGGTGAGAGGGATGACACCCACTCAGCAAGGCAGGAGTGTGACTGCAGGGTGCTGGTAAGAGTGGGAAGCAAGGACTCAGGGAGAATTGTGAGGAGTGAGGGTGAGAGCAGTGAGGTATGAGGCTGGTGGGAAGTTGGAGACTCTCGGTGAGGGGTGAAAAAAAAAATTGAATCTTGGTGGAAGTCAGAATTTCACAAAAGGTGGATTATGAATGAAACGACTCACTCTGGCCCTCATCCTGAATATTAATATACTGTATATATATTTACTCAACATAAACATTCTCAATATACATGCAAAACATACATACATACATACACACACACATACATACATACATACATACATACACACATACACAATACGATCTACATAATTCCCCAAAAATATTCTAACCCAAAAAATTCCAGTTATCCCTCAACACGTCTTACTGTAAGCATCATTAACGGCTACAAATATTTCCTCAGCTTTAACCTCTGAAACATTACATCAACTCTAACCTAACCTAACCTAATCTAACCTAACCTAACCTAAACCCAGTGGTAAATAACTTGCATTAAATAGTTTGCTCCAAAAAAAATATTAAAACATAAATTATTACCCGAAAATAATAATTAATCACGGTTTAATCTACTAAAATCAGTATTTATTGAGCAATATATCTTTAAGCACTATTAAACCTAGACACTGTGTAGGACGTCTGAGCTTACCACACACACACACACACACATATATACACACACACACACACACATACACACACGCGAGCTTAACCCCTGACATGTGACCTTCAATAATGGAGTCACCAAAAAATATTGATGTGTGCTGGATATTAACCCATAAACAAGGTATTGAAAGCCCTTTACCAATAGGTTGTGGCAGATGTGAGATGAGGATGTTCAAAGTTCACGCGGAAAGTTTGTAAAGGGAAAAAGAAAGCGATCATTGATTTAGACGTTCATTGATAAAATAATAATGTCAGCAGCATAGAGATTTATTTTATTCCGTTAATGAGTGAGTGAGTGAGTGAGTGAGTGAGTGACAGATATAGAGCTGATAATGTGCTAATGAATCTAAATTTAGCATTTCAGTATTTATTTAATTTAGTTAAGAAAAAAAATAATTGGCTCCGTCAGTGAGTAACGAAGTCAGTTAAGATGGTATACATAGAGCTGGTGACGCAACTAATTTACCCTGAAAATGTAATAACAAGAGTTAAGAAAATCAGATCTACGCATGACTGAACTTACCCCCAGAGAGGTACTTAATTTCCGCCCTCATTACATACCAGGAGCAGTTTACCTACACGTCCACCAAAGAACTTTCCTTCCTTCAACACGCCCACAAATTTCATGGATCAAAATTAACCCTTGAATTTAATCTAAACCAACCTAACCTTACCCTTAAACTTAACCTGACCTGACCTGACCTGATTTTCCTGACCTAGTTTACCAAAGTCTTCCGGCGGAAATTTCATTGGGGGGGTTAATTCCTTCTATACTTCAAACCCCAATCATCAGTATTATCACTTCTCCCTGTTCTTGTTCTCATTTGGAAAGACGGAAATGACAAAACAAAAACAAAAACCTCTGCAGATTCCTCACAAATACAACCTTCCCCCACCCCCGACTGGCTCAAAACATGAAATCTTGTCCACATACCGACCAATTTCTGCAGTGAAACGCAAACAAAACTCGGCAGCGTAACTCACAATGACAAAATATTTTATTCACAGGCGAGCGAGTGTGTCACCCCCAGACCACCACCACCATCTCTTCTTCCTCATTCTCTACCTCCTCCTCCTCCTCCTCCCGCCGCCGTCTTCTGACCTCTCCACGCTGTCGAAGTTCAAACGTAAATATCGAGTGATACACATCTGGAAGAAATGGGCTGGTGGGTCAATGGCTGGGTGGGTAGGTGAGTAGGAGGAGGAGGAGAAAGAAGGGTAGGAGGAAGAGAGGGAGGAATAGAGCAAGAGGGAAATGAAGGAAGGGCGATGGGAGAAGAAGGAAGGAAGGAAGAAGGAGGAGGAGTCAAATAGATATAAGAAAAAGGAGAAAGGGGAGGAGAAGTAAACGGAAGGAGAAAACGAGAGGAGAAATGGTAAGGAGAGAAGCGAAATGAGAAGAGCGAATGTAAAACAGGGTAAGAAAATGAGTCAATGAGGGGATAATGAAGAAGAGTGAGAGAGGAAGTAAATCAAGGAGAATGACTAGAAATTAGGGGAGTTAAATGAGGAAGAAGGAAGTGGATCTGATAGGGCAGGGGAGGAGAGAGAGAGAGAGAGAGAGAGAGAGAGAGAGAGAGAGAGAGAGAGAGAGAGAGGGTAGATAGATAGGTAGGTAGGGAAGGAGGGAAGTGAGAGAGAGGGAGGGAGGGAGGGAAGGAGGGAGGAAGCAAGGAGAGAGAGAGAGAGAGAGAGAGAGAGAGAGAGAGAGAGGTGTAGGGGGGGGGGGGGCACACGTTGACGACCACCACCGCCGTAACTTTGAAGTTTAATTAAAACCAGTGGAATGTTTGCTTTCCTGATTTGAATATGAAATACTGTCAACACGCCCTTCACAGAACACCCCGATAGAGAGCACTACTTGTTGAGTGGAGGTCGATGTTGCTTGTAGCAAGAGACGCTGGTTCACTGGTGTGCTTGTACAGCGGTTCTGTGGTTCTCTCTGAATGGGGAGAACCGGGACAGGGTACTGTAAACACGGCCTGTGGGACTGGTGTACCGGGGATGCTTTTTTTCCCTCAGTGAAGAGGGTCGGTCAATCCCCGCCGACATATATATTGACATTTGAGTTGATTTTAAAGTCTGTTTATCAATATATGTTGTATGTGTATGTTTTAGTATGTGTGAATATGTCCCTAATATATCCATACTTAAGTGTGATGATAACTAATCCAGGAATATATATATATATATATATATATATATATATATATATATATATATATATATATATATATATATATATATATATATATATATATATATATATATATATATATATATATATATATATATATATATATATATATATATATATACCTTTCGCCGGTAGGTAGGCGAGCTATGTATAAAAGCCTTTACCTGCATCTATGAATAACAACAGAGGCTATCTTGCTGACAACAATGCCTCAGCTAGAAGCTGTATGAATAAAGAATAAGCTCCCCTCAATTAACCTAACCATCCTTCGTTTCCCCTCACGTAGGTATAAGAGCACATAGCCAGTGTATATATGCCGTCTTCATTATGTAAATCCGACCTGATTAGCTCTAATCAAGCGTGCCGGGCCACGCCGTATGGCTCAAATAGCCACCAGTTCCACTCTCATAAATAATCCGCTGTCTGCAAACCTGCTCGACCGGATGAATGAATTTGTGTAAACCTAATCAACAATTGGACGATTTTTTCGGGGGGTGATTATTCAAAGAGCATTTCTCTCTCCCCCTCTCCGACTCCCCTTCCCCTCCCCCTCTCACAGCCCCTCCTCTCCCCCTCTCCGACTCCCCTTCCCCTACCCCTCTCACAGCCCCTCCTCTCCCTCTCTCCGATTCCCCTTCCCCTCCCCCTCCTCTCCCCCTCTCACTGTAAATACTGCCGGGCTAACACTAGATTGGTCGCTAGCGTTTGTAAACAAAAACACACAGGAGGGCTGGGATTATGGCCTTTATACGCCAGAGGCACAGAGTTCACTTCCCCCTGGCCCATCCACCACACAGGCTTGGGTTAATTGTGTGATCTGTTTACGTGGTTGTTTTCAAATGATTGAGATAACATTTAGAAATACGGTTATTGGCGGTGTTTTGGTGGTGTTTTGGTACTGCTGCCCTGCTAGTTAGTTACGAGAATGAGTTGTGCAAATAAACGAGCCCAGATAGGGAGGAAATATGTAAACAGTGAGTTGCATTAACATTCGCACAGCCGGCGATAATAACACCGGTGATTCATCATAGTCATTTACCCGTAGTTTTGTACATCTACGCATGTTATGTGCACTTAATATACAGTATTCATCTAGCGAACTTTTCAAATATGTAAAGGCAATCCATCTAAATAGCGTATATTAGCGTATATGTACCAGTGCAGCATAATCAACCCGTATAGGTATATCGATATATTTTTCCCCATGTTACCACCTGCCATAGGAAAAAAAAAGGCTGGTTGGCTGCAGGTGTAACTCGTCAACACGGATTGGGTTACCGCGGCGCTTCATGACCTACTTTACCCTCGGTATGGGAGGGAGCCACGGCCAGCAGCGGACTGAATACAGATGTGTCCTCAGTGCGTGTATATACAGTACAATATATGTATAGCTGGCGAAGAAGTGTATGCCAGGGAATCTAAACTGGAGGCCTTCCCTGCTACAGTACTTGACGAATAGCAAATAAAAAAATCTTATCAGGAGAAACTTTAGCTGAAGGTAGAAATAATGTTTGAAAACACTACAACACTACATGACAACACCAGAGGAAACACAACAACACAATATAATACAACACCATAGAGTACATAAGAACACAATATAACACCACAAAGTAGTCTGTGGTGTGGCCATGGGTTTGTACCCTGGTGTGACCATGGGTTTGTACCCTGGTGTGGCCATGGGTTTGTACCCTGGTGTGGCCATGGGTTTGTACCCTGGTGTGGCCATGGGTTTGTACCCTGGTGTAGCCATGGGTTTGTACCCTGGTGTGGCCATGGGTTTGTACCCTGGTGTGGCCATGGGTTTGTACCCTGGTGTGGCCATCGGTTTGTACCCTGGTGTGGCCATGGGTTTGTACCCTGGTGTGACCATGGGTTTGTACCCTGGTGTGACCATGGGTTTGTACCCTGGTGTGGCCATGGGTTTGTACCCTGGTGTGGCTATGGTTTCGTATTGTGGTGTGGCCATGGGTTTGTTATACACCGGTGTGACCATGTAATCAATAATATTTAATTAGCTTAGTGATGTTCCTTAGTGGTGATGATGTGTCACACCAGTGGGCATCAGGAGTGAGTCAGTACAGCTGTTCACCTTCACACTCCTTTAAGCTGTATAACTCAGACTTAATACTGTGAGATAATCTGGGTACAGAATAACTGACTGGGTTTACACTAATTAATCAATCAGTTTCATTGTAAATATTTTAATATACTGTGTGCATTAAATTCACCTCACACCCTGTCTAGTGATCACGTCGGTACAATCAACATCCACATATACTACAGTAGCTCACTTAATAAACCCAGAAGAATTAAAACAAACAAAAAAACACTATGAACACGTCTACACAAACACGGAATCCTTATTGTATTATCCGGTGTTCTGCGAGGCCTCACTCACTGGCTTCACCTCGTGTTCTCAGTGAAATAATTAACGTAAGAACAAAAAAAAATGGAGAAAACTGCAGCGTGGCTATTGCCCTTACTAGGCAGCCCCGCTAATACCCAACCCCTATTGCACATATATCCATCCAACCAATACTTGAAGTTTCCCAGCGAGTTCGAGTTAATGATGATGTTCTGTAACTTGTTCCACTCATTCACAACCAATAAATACTCGGAGGTCTAATGAAAAACGAAAGTACAGGTAAATATACAATGACAGTAACACACACAAGGTATACAGACCACCAGGGGAATACTCCGAGAAACGAGAGTACTTCAGGAACATACAGCTAACAGTACAGAACAAGGAGATCACCCTTACAGCTGTACTCGGGAATTAAGCGTGAGTCCGAGTAATGAGCGTGGCTAACAACAGTGCTGGGTATAATTACACAGAAATAGCCAGGGATGGATAATTAGCTCGAACGAAACAGTGGCTGTGAAATGTAAATATTTAATGATATGTCTATGAGGCCGTGTTAGTTCTCTGTACCAAAAAAACAAACAAAAAACATCATCAGCTTTGCACAACACGTAGTAGTGATCGTGTATAAAAGGCGGTGTTATCCTGCTGGACACCACAGTAAGGGTTCACTGTGTGTGTGTGTGTGTGTGTGTGTGTGGAACATACATAGCTGGTGGACGGATGATTACGAGTTAATAAGAATTTCCAAACCAGACTGTCTCCGTATATATATATATATATATATATATATATATATATATATATATATATATATATATATATATATATATATATATATATATATATATATATATATATATATATATATATATATATATGGGACAGTATCAAGGGCGTGTGTCTGCTGCAAATGTCTCTCCGTCTGTGTATTTCACCAGTACACACATTATACAGCAATTTTCACCGACATACACTCCGCCAACATACTCGACATTCAGTCAGCCTTTATGATAAATAACTAAAATCATCTCATACATTCAGAATAATATTTAACATATGTGTCAATATTTCAGATAACCTGAGCTATGTTAAATATGTGACATTATCTCTGATATGTGAAGGTGCTTTAATTACGGTATATTATATTAATTAGATTCATATATGTTAAATATATACGGAATTATTGACAATATCTGGAGCTACGTCAAATACCTGCAGCTACAGTATAGCTAAGATAACAATAAACATCTGGGGCTATATTATAATATCTATAGTAAATGTTAAGTATATTGAGCTATATTCAGTACAATTATACCTGTTATCTATGTTAAGTCATGTTATCTTGAGCTATAGTCAATATATGTTAATCTGTTAAACATCTGGAGCTATATGAGCTATGTTTAATGTACGCTGCTATATTTAATACCTGGAGTTACAGTAAACACCCGGAACTATGCTGAATCGTACAGAAAATAAAGAAAATAACAAGATTACAAAATATTTCAAATTAATACAACACAATACAGGAGACTTATGAATACAAAACAAACAAATCGTATTTTTTTTTTTTACATCCGACTCTGAGAATTTCTTGTTGGACTTTTCTTTTCATATCTTGTAATATACGAAGCATAAATGAATAGAAATTTGTTGTGTGGTGGTGGTGGTGGTTGTGGTGTGGTGGTGGTAGTTGTAGTGTGGTGGTGGTGGTGGTGATGGTTGTGGTGTGATGGTGGTGGTGGTTGTTGAAGGGGGAAGGGAAGGAGGGGGGGTAGAATGAAACGGTAAGGGAAGGTAAACAATAGCCTATCGAAGGATGGTCAAATAGCCTATCAAAAGAAACTAAAAATAGTCTATTGAAGGAAGGTCAAATAGCCTATCGAAGGAAGGTAAAAAATCGCCTATCTAAAACAAATTATGCCAACGAAAGTAAAATACATGGAGTTAATCCCCCGACTCTCACTTAACGTAACCTAACCTAACCTCAATACCGTACACATTTTATACGTTCCTCAAATGTGTGTGTGTGTCATGTTTCAGAATCTTTCCTGTGTAGATGGAAGAAGACCACCACTCCCCGACCCCCTGACGGAGACACGGTGATCCTCCCCATACTGGCCAGATATTTTGTAAATAATATTGATTATGTGTTAAAGGAATATCCTTCCTTCCTTAGGCTTTAGTAAGCCCCTTTATAATATTTATACTGTATATACTTGTCACACTTGCCAGATGATTCTGGTGTCATTGTACAGGGGTACCTAGTGACAGCACTAGGATCCCGCTTCCTCTATCAAGGAATAAACAATTGAAATTGAAATTAATTGATGGAAGAAGAGCGGATTACAGAAAGTCAACACCTTATATAAATGATAGATTAGATGGACGGATGGACGAACAGACAGACGGACGGTGGATAGGACAGGTGGATAGGACAGGTGGATAGGACAGGTGGATAGGACAAACTTTGCACCAGGTGAACCATTTGACCTAAAGAGAATTTACTATCACATATGTGGGAAATATAACAACAACAACAATAATGAAAATAACAATAGTAATAATAATAACAATAATAATAATAATAATAATACTAATACTAATAATACTAATAATAATAACTATAATAATAATAATAAAAATAATAATAATAATTCACAATATTTCTGAGTTAAATAACCAAGGGTTGACAGAGCTCTGCATCCAACCCTCACTATACTTCCCTCCCTCCCTCCCTGCTTCCCTCCCTGCTTCCCTCCCTGCTTCCCTCCCACACTCACTCCCTCCCTCCCTCCCTCCCTCCCTCCCTGCTTCCCTCCCACACTCCATCCCTCCCTCCCTCCTACGACCACTGGCGCCCACCACCTGCTACCTTGGCCCAATTATACCTGTCGTAATGGTGAAGGGAAGCGTGCGATACCGTCCCTAACTGCCTCTTGTAAACGCAAATGCAGCTACCTTCTCAAGATAGCGAGAGAGAGCATCTGCAGGTAAGATATTACGAATGCAATTGGGAGGGGGAGGAGGGGGAGGAAGGGGAGAGGGGGAAGGGGGAAGGGGGAAGGAGGAGGTATTTCTTTTAAGTGCACCCTCCCGCGCCCCAGGTAGCTGTTGCAAGACGATGGTAATGGTTGTGATTTTTTGGCAGGTTGAACTACGAGGATAATTTGCATATGATCTACATGTAGTTTCCCTTTCCCCTCCTGTGCTGTTGAGAGCTTGTTACCTTGTTACGGTCGTTAGTGGAGTGTTATAAGAATTGTTGGTGAGTTGTTAGGGTGTTGTTATACGGTGATAGAAGGGGTGTTATAGTGTGTTGCAACAGGGTGTGATATACTGCGGGAGGAGGTGACAAGGGGTTAATATGTTGCAGTAAAGTGTTATTGGGTGTAAGAGGTGCTAAAGGGTGTCTGGTTAGGTGTACCTGGGTGTTGGTGTACCTGGGTGTTAGTGTACCTGGGTGTTGGTGTACCTGGGTGTTGGTGTACCTGGGTGTTGGTGTACCTGGGTGTTAGTGTACCTGGGTGTACCTGGGTGTTAGTGTACCTGGGTGTTGGTGTACCTGGGTGTTGGTGTACCTGGGTGTTGGTGTACCTGGGTGTTGTACCTGGGTGTTGGTGTACCTGGGTGTTGGTGTACCTGGGTGTTAGTGTACCTGGGTGTTGGTGTACCTGGGTGTTGGTGTACCTGGGTGTTGGTGTACCTGGGTATTGGTGTACCTGGGTATTGGTGCACCTGGGTGTACCTGGGTGTTGGTGTAGTGTTGGTGTACCTGGGTTAGTGTACCTGGGGTGGTACCTGGGTGTTGGTGCACCTGGATGTTACAGTGCACCTGGAAATTCCAACACACACACACACACACACACACACACACACACACACACACACACACACTTTATTTTCTTTCCGGGAATTTATTTAATTATTATTTTGTTTTAATTTCACATCATCCTAAAATCATCAAGTTTTATACATAGTTCCTGTCATTCGGTTGGTCGTGTGTGTTGACTCTCTCCACTAAACACAGGTCATAGTGACGTGTCTGCTGAGTGTATTATAGTTAAGTGTGTTTGTAGAGTCTAAGTGTGTTTGTCAAGTCTATGAAGAGGGTTAAGTGTGTTTGGCGAGTCCATAAGGAGGGTTGGTCATGTGAGAAAGAAAATTAAATAGATTAAATTAAGACAAAGTTTCAGGTGAGAACGTATGTATAAAATAATAATGAAGAACAAATGAACAGTTACTTGACAGTGGGAGGAATTAACTACACATTTTGAAGAACAAATGAACAGTTACCTTGATAGTGGGAGGAATTAACTACACATTTTGAAGAACAAAAGAACAATTACAAAAGATAAAAGGAACTCCTACACATTTTTAAAGAACATATGAACAATTATTAGCGAGGAAAGAATTAACTGCATGCAACAACTTCAAAGAACTTCAGGTGATAACATCCTTATAACAGAACTTGTAGAACAATATAACTTGAGGAGAAGGACTGACATATACACATTCATTAACCTCAGTGGTGGTATTAACGTTCACATAACACCTTAGAGAACTTGTGAAGTGTCGCTTCTTATGAGGGGAAGTGACGGTGGCCGAGAGAAGTGTTATGAGATGGC